AAGTCCGCGTTTCCTGGACTTTTGTCTGGTGTGCCTGTGTGCATATGTGTGTGTCTGTGTGCACACGCGACAGCAGAGCTTCCCTCTCCAACGTGAGTCGTTCCTGAGGACAGGCAAGTGCTTTGTGCTTCCAGTGCAGTTCTGGAAATAATCCTGTGTGCCGCCTTTGATGAAGGTCACTTGACAGTAACCAGGAGAGAGCCGGACATCTGCGACAGCTCGTTCCGCAACCGGCTTGAGGAAGAGCGGGGCTTGCAGGCTTGTGGTCCGGTGGTCACACGCCCTGTATACCCAGTCCGGGGGAACTTGGGACATGTTAGCAGCTGGTTCTCTCTGACAGTGTCCTTGTCCCCTTGCTCCACTTATTGAAACTAATCAGTAGGTGACGTTAAGCCCCCGAAGGGCAGGGACTGCGTCCTGCGCATCCATGCGTGCCCCCTGCAGGGACTGGAAGAAAGCTGGCATTTGTTAAGCCCTTGCACGTGCCAGACACCATCCTAGGCATTTTATGTACATTTTCCCTAACACTCACAGGAGGTCCTTGAATGGTATTACCAGACAACCAGCCTAAGATCAGGGCATAGGAGTGGCAGGATGGAGTTCCCACCCCAAAGCTGTGGGACTTGAAAGCTGCCCGGACAGTGCTGGGCACACAGTAGGTGCTCATGTATACTTGCCAGGGGATGGGCTGGCTCTTATATCCGAAGCAGCAGCTTCCAGCGGCCCTCTTGGACCCCCCCACTTAATAGAAGCTGTGAAATTCTTCAAGTGATTAGAAATACGCTTTAGAAGCTGCTCCTGTGGAAGCTGACTTTGGGGCTGCCGAGGACGTCCTGCAGGATGTGGGCATGCCTGGAGGGAGGGATGCACTGCAGATATTTTACATATGGGCCCTGGGGGACAAAGCTGCTGCGCCCTGGACCCCTACCCCAGAGAGGTCAGAGGGCAGACTCGCCAACAGAGGCAGCTGGGCTAAAGGCAAAAAGTATTGAAATGGAGCTAAAAAGAGGGTCTCCTCTTTTCCAACCCCGTATCGGTTTTCCCCTTTCTTATAAGCCATATACGTCCCTTAACCCAGCTGCCATGCGTCACCCCCCACCCCCAGTTCAACCAGTGAGAAGAGGAAAAGCCCCCGACATGAGAATCCGTTTATCCTAACGGAGGGCCAAACACTGGAGCTGAGTGACTGCAATGCTTGGGCTAATTTAGAGCCCGTCAGGCTTGGATTTGAATCTCACCACCAGCCCTGTACGTTTTAACAAGTTATTCCCCTGCTCTGAGCCTCAGTTTCTTCATCTGTAAAATGGGGATAATCGAGCCCACTTTACAAGGTTCTTCAAGGGCTAAAGTGAGATCCTGCCTGTGTAGTGGCCGCTGTGAGCCTCATCCAGCCGCCTCATTCCAGGAGGGGGCACTCATGCTCAGGGCGCCGGGCGTCTGTGCAGCCGGATGGAGCCCTGCCTCCCTGCTGTGACTCAGTTGGAACAAGAGCCCTGCCCGCCTGAGAGTTCCCAGGGGGCTGGGCTGAGGCCTCTCTTGCAACTGCCTTGCAACCCAGCTTTCCTCTTTGTGCTGTTTTCCTCACTCACCCAAGGTGTTATTTCCAAGAGCTCTCCCCTGTAAGCGCTCTGTGTGCCTCTCCCCAGCTCAGAATCTATTCCCCAATGCAGTGGTTAATCTTACGTGTCAACGTGGCCGTGGCACCCAGATATTTGGTCAAACACCAGTCTGGATGTTGCTGTGAAGCTATTTTTCAGATGAGATTAACATATAAATAAATAGACTTTGAGTAAAGCAAATTACCCTCCATAACTTGAGTGGGCCTCATATAATCAATTGAAGCTCTTAAGAGAAAACAGGCTGAGGTCCCCGGAAGAAGAGGGAATCCTGCCTCCAGTCTGTCTTCAGACTCGGGCTGCAACATCCACTCTTCCCTGGGTCTCTGACCTGCCCATCTGCCCCGCAGCTTTTGGACATGCCAGCCTCCGTAATCTCGTGAGCCAATTCCTTATAATAAATTTATCTATGTCTACTTCTTTATCTACGTCTATAACTGTAACTATATCACACACACGCATCCTGTTGGTTCTGTTTCTCTGGAGAACCATGATAATACACCCAGGAACCCAAAGTAAGACCTGCCAACTACCAGTGGGAAACACCTCCCCGAGGGTCATTTATATTAATTCACTGAAGTGCCAAGGGAGTCTCTGTATGTCTCTGGGACTCTCTTCTCATCCGTGACTGGTGACCCCATCCCCACAGTCGCTATGGGCTCCCTCGCCCTGTGGATCCATGCAGGTGCCCCTGGCTCGGCTGACAGGGGAGGACAGAATAAGATCCAAGATTCGTACCTCAGGCTCCCTGGAATAAGATGAGCTTCAGGAGAAGACTTTAAATCCAGAGAGCCTAATTCATGTTTTCTCTTTGATTTCCTTCCTGGTAGTGTATTTTGAAATTAGTCTTTGTTAAAAAAAAATGGTTTATGACCAATGAATATTTCTCTCCCAACAAGTACGGTGTGCTGGGCAGGAGACTACAGGTTTCAGTAACATGTGATCACCATCATTGGGTTTTAGCATCTACAATAGTTTCCTGTAAATAGATGTTAAAAAAAGACATACTTTGACTTACTCTGCCGTGATGATTATGAACAGCTGTTAATGTTTACAGAGGACCCAGATTAAGTCAGAAAATGTCAGAGCAAAGAATGTACAAGGAAATACCCACAGCCTTCGGTTTTTAGTTCCGTCCACAAACCTGTTGGATACTCAGGGCTCAGCGCTTCTCGTGGGGTGAGTTTGTGATCATTAAAGCATGAAAAAGCCCACGCACCAAAGGAGCCCACCGTGTCAGCCGTCCTCAGCACGGGGTCTTTCCAGGAGAGAAGGCTCGTTTTTAAAGCCTGCAGCTTCACCAGAACTTAGGTGCCTGGACACACAAGCCTGGCCTAGAAGCTCGCTCCAAGGTCTGGAACCTCACCAATCGAAAGAGGCCACTCATGTAACCCAAGAGGCCCCGGGGGAGCCAGCGCCCCAGAAATGGCTGAGCTGGTTTGTGGCTTAGAAGGAAATCACAGCTTCTGTCAAATGATGTCGTCTTGCCCTGCAACTATGATCTGTCTTAATATTTTAAGGCTGATCTTGATGAGCTTGATGGAGCTTCCGGCAGCTGATTCCCTTTCTATTTATTAAGTTGATTAATTTTTACTTTGTCAAGAGGAAAGAAAAGCTGACGCTCAGAACAGTTTCACAGGAAAGCTGGTTCATTCTGCCTGGGCCTCCCTGGTGGCCGATTGTTGTCCTACGAATGAGGTGCATCTTTGGAGGCCCACGGTAGTTCATGTATTTGTAAAAAATGAGCCATTTTCATTAAGATGTTTCTAATGTATGACCATGAAACTGTGCATGGCATTTTCTTATTGGTGTGAATCCCTTTAAATGGGTGGTTATGCCCCTTTCTCATTTTGTTTGTGACCTTTTTTCCTTTGATTAGATTTGCCAGAAGTTTGAATATTTTGTGAATCTTTTTAAAGAACTAATTCTTGGTCTTACTTATTAGTTCCTCTGGTTTTTGTTCTCCAATTTTTTACTTTAATTTTAATCTTTATTGTTATATTATTTTTCCCATTTTCCTTTGGGTTATTCTTCTTCCTTTTTTTAGTGGCTAAGGTGGTTGCTTTTCTCTTTTTGATGATAACATTGTTTAAAGCTATGAATTTTCCTGTAAATACTGTTATGTCTGCATCCTGTGAAATCATCCATTTATTATTTTGGGATTGGTTCAGATATGTTTTTATAGAGAAATGAACTATTTTAGAGGAAAAATAATGATAAACAAAAAAGACCCAAAAAACTAAAAACAATCAAACATGAAAGGAAAAAACTGAATCACCTGAAATCCCATTTCCCAGTGAGTCTACTGATACTTTAGCATACATTTTCTAGATTTTTCCCTTGCCAACTTATACATATGGATTTTTAAATTTTTACAAAATGAGGTCACACCTATCATTTTGTAATATGCTTTATTTATCTAAATAATAAAATTAGAACATCTTTCCTTGTTATTAGGACTAGAGTTACATTGTCAACTTTAATGGCAGTCAAGGATTTATTCTGTTGTGTGGATAGTCCATAATTTATGTTACCGATTACCTTTTATTAGACATTTGGGTTATTTTCTTCTATTTTCTCGTGACACACACACCCTGCAATGCATATTCTTGTTGCTGAACATTTGCATGCCTCCGCGATTATTTCCTTGGGATAAAGTTGTTGTCATGGAATTGCGGGCTGATAGCAGTAGTGTGGTTTTAAGACTTTTGGTGCACCATCTCTCATTTACTCCCAAAACAGCTGTCCCAGTGATTTTCCCTCAGCCTGAAAGTTCCTGTTTCCATCTACCCTCGGCAGTACTGAGTATGTTTACTTTTGGACTATTGGTGGGAGAAGAAATGCTTATCTTAATCTGAATTAGTTTGTTATTAACAAAGGTGAATATTTTCATACATTTATCAGTCACTTGTATTTTTTTGGACTGCCTTTTCATATCCTATACCTTTTCTCCTTTCTTCTTATTAATTTGCAAAGAGTTTTTGCTCTGTGTCATATAGATTACAAATATTTTGGCTATTTTCTTGTTACATTTTCAAATTTGTTTAGGTATTCTTGCTTTACAGAATTTTAAAAGTTTTATTTAGTTAAATATATCAGTCTTTTTTCTTCCATGGTCTTTGACTTTGCACATCTTTTTAGAAAGATCTTACACAATGAAGATCAAATTACTCATTTGTTATCATTTATTTGTTTGCATTTAAATGTTATAAGTATTTGGGTTTATTTTAGTGTGTGATAGAAGATTTTGGTTTTTTCCCCGTAGCCAGTTGTTCTCAGTCATACCCCATCCTTTGCCCATGGAAATGATAGTTAGCATGTGAAAAATCTATATAGATATGTTTCTGGCTTTCTGTTTTTGTGACTTTGTCCATTCATTTACAGAACCAGCTCCAGTCCACTGCAGTGGCTGAAGGGACTCAAGTCTTGAGCCTGTTCGCCCTCCTGACAAGCTCTCCAAGTTGGATAAGTCACTTAAACCCTGAACTTCAGTTCTGAGGATTCAGGAGGAGGATGTGTGTAGAGTTCTTGGCTCTGTACCTGGTACATTCAAGGATTCGATAATGGAGATGTTATTGCTATTGACACAGACATACCAGTGGAACTCGGATGTTGGCTGGGTACCCCCTTGCTCCTCAGGGTAAACTCGGCTTCATCTCCCAAAGGGGGTGGGAAGAGGGAGCTGTGCAAACCCAGAGCCTGCTCAAGATTCCAGCAAGTTCCAGAGCCATCCCTGCTGCCTCTGCTGATCTTCACCGCTTACCACAGTTGTGAAAGTCTGTCCCTACTTAGAATTCCAGCCCCCCACTCCCATCAGACTCTCCCCCCACAGCACTGATGACTGCAGGAGACTTTCCTAAGTCCAGGAGGTGGGGGGACGGAGAAAGCACAAGTGAGCATAGGAAAGTGGAGCAGGAAGTCTCTGCATTGGGACTGCTCATCCCGGCACCCCCATACTGGGTTTCACTCACCTTCTCTTAACTGTCTTAGCATCTCTTCCTCCCTGTGACCCCTCCCTTCTCTCACTTCTTCCCTCCTCTCCCCTTCTCCTTTCCCCACCCCCAGAACCAAAACCACGAATGCCTTCACCAACAGAGCAGCCCCCCATCTCTGACAGCTTGGTTCCTGCCAGGTCCACACCCACAGGCTCCCCTTCTCCTGAAGAGGACCTCACAGGGCATTTCCCCAAACGAGACAGTTCCTTCCCTAAGAGGGGATTGGTCCAAGGGGCGCTTGCTCCATGGAGGGCCCACCCGTAGGCTGCACCCATGACACGGCGGGCCCAAGGGGCTCATCCCCAAGCTCCTTCAAATCCCCATGCCCTCCCACTCCATAAACCTCCTTTTCTCAAGATGACCCGGGGGTATCCGGTCCTTGCAGCCAAGGTTCTAACACACCTCCTTTTACAGATGAGAGAACACAGGCTCTGGGAGGTTCAAAACAAAGTCACACGGGTAGGAAGTGGCACAGCTGAGACCTCAACCCAGAACCCTCTGATTCCACAAGCCGTGATCTTTCTGGAGCTCAGCACAGGGTTTACCAGCTCCCCAAAGGGGCCAGCGCCACCCAGCGATACCGGCTCCTTCTCTCCTGTATCAGTCTAGCCTCCTGGACCAGGCCACTGTCGTCAGCTAGGCTTCATGGGGTGCAAACCGTGTGACAGAGCACCAAGGCCTTTACCCACTGCTCATGGTTTTGTCCTGTGAGGTGGGCATTATTAGCCCAGTTTTACAGGTAAATAAACCAGAGTTCAGAGAAGTAAAGTGACTTACCCAAAGTCACACAGCAAGAACTGATGGCGCCAAGACTTAATCCCAGGTTGGTCTACCCAGAGGCTCTGCTCTTAGCTCCTGCAGAGTATTCCAGCCGCAGAGGCAGGGACAACGACCCCTGGCTGTTCCTGTGCACCTGGATGATAGGGGCATGCAGTCTCTCATGCTGCTTCCAGTTTTGCTGTTGGCATTCTACCCCCACCCTCAGAACCTACTACAACTACCCCTCCTCCAGGAAGTCCCCCCAATCCCCTTGCTGAAGGATCTCTCTCTTTGCATCCTACAGCTCTCTCTCCTGCCTTGGGTGGCGGGTCGTCTCTTTCATTGCCTGGCTCCTTAGCAACAAGAGGACAGAATCTACACTGTGTGCATTTTTGAGGAGCCAGCACCTCATCCTTCACAGTTTCCAGGGTACCCTCGAGTCCATTCTCCCTCTCGATCTGTAACATGGCCCAAGAGTAAGCAGGGCGGAGAGGATCTCCGTCTTTCACGAGAGAACTGAGGCTGCGGGAGAGAGAGTGCAGCCAGGCCCAGGCCACACTGGGCTGATTAAAAAGTTCTGTTCTCTGGACGTGGCTTTGCAATGCAGATTTCACGGAAAGGCCGGGCCCTGAGTGACTCCAAATACATATTTACAGGTTTGTCAAGTGTTGCAGCGAGTCTGCAGAGCCTGGCTTCCTGCATAAACAGCCCTCATGAAAGCCAATGAAGTCACACCTCCCAGCCAGAGCCTGCTGGCACCAGTGCGGTCCCTCCTGGGTGCGTTCACACGGAAGACATTCACATCACCTGATGGCCTGCAGGAAGCCAGGGGTCCGCCAGCTCACGCTCCCAGGAAGGGGCCAGTGGACCCCCCATGACCATTGAGCAAGCCGAGGAAGAGGGGTGACGGATGCTCCTGGGTCTTGGAGCAAGCTTGTGGTGGAGACTTTCTCCCTCATTGGGAGAGCTGGAATTGGGGTTCTGAGCAGGTGGCAGCTACAGCCCCTCCTCTCATCTTTTGCTCTCTGTGTCTATTAGTCAGGATGGTGGGTCATGCAGTAACAAACGATCCCCATATCTCTATGCCTTAACACTACAAAAGTTTATTTCTTGTTCATGAACGTCCACTGCGGTCCCAGTGAAGTGACCCCGTGATACAGGCTACTTTGATCTTGTGGCTCACATCTTAGTCTGAGGCCCCCTCCATGATCACTGTGGCAGAGGCAGATACAATTGCACAGGAAATTGTGCTGGAATTACACCACCACAGCCTGAAAGTGCCACATGGCACTTCTGCTCCTATTTCCTAAGCTGGAAATCATTACATCGTCCTGACAACTGCAAGGAAGCTGGGAAGTTTCCCGTATGGCAAGGGTAAAAGGGCATATGACACCAGGGATGTCCATTACACTCTTTCCAAGGACCCAAACATTGGGGTTCTCTCCATCTCCCCTCCACGTGAATCATTTTTAAAGATACTCATCTAGGGAAGTGTATTAGTCAGCAATGCTGCATTGATGCTGCATAACAAACCACTCCAAAACGCAGTGATTTACAACAACAAGCATTCCCTTTTCTTGCTCATGAGTCTGCAAATTGACCAGTGTGGCTGTGCTCCAGGTTGCAGGCTGGCCTGGATTGGCCACAGGCCTTGGGTTGGACTCAGTCTGCTCCTTGGATCAGCAGCTGTTCTGGGTGTGTTCTTCTCACGGTGGCTCAGAGGAGCACATGAGGCCAAACCACGCCAGCCCAGGAAGGCCTCTGTGCCATCACATCTGCTGACATTCCATTGGCCAAACCCAAAGTCAAGGATGGCGAGGTGCCCTCTGCCCACCATGAAGCCATGGCAGGCATGAGGACGTACAGTTCTAGGAAGGAAGGAAGGAAAGATTTGGAGCAATGACCCAATCACCATGCCAGCTCTTTGGGAAATGCATGGGGCTTAGAGTCCCACAGATGGTGGTTCGAATCCCAGCTCTAACCTGGTCAGGCCTCTCTCCCCCTCTGAACTTCTGCAGCCACTTCTGTAAGATGGGGCTGAAACCTTTCCCTCGGGATCCCTGGGCGACTGATCATCACAAATAACAGTTGCATTCCCACCACGTGTCCAGCACCAGGGGAAGTGCTTTCTAGCCCCCATTAGCTCTTCATCCCTTGAAGGCCCACTTCTCATCACTCACGCGTTAGTGTGGATTAGCGTGTGGAGTGGATCTCCACCAGAGAATAGATTTGGAACCTAGGAGCCCAGGGATCCACCAGGACAGAGAGAAGGATGCTGAGAGGAAAGCCGAAAAGACCCAAAGCTCAGAGTAACCAAGTTCACAGATCCTGTGACAGCACCCTCAGGGTTCAGGGATGCGGCATTACCACCAGGGTCCCTTCTCCCTCAGGCACTCTTCCCTTCTACAAATGTTGATTGAATCCCAGCCCTTCACTAGGCTCTAAGGATGGGGAAACTGAGGCACAGATTTTTTTCCCCCTGTTATCACTGAATTTACAGCCTGTGTTAGGGTTTGCTAGAGAAGCAGAACTAATAGGAAATAGAGAGATAGAGATAGATAGATAGATAGATTATAAGGAATTGGCCCTAGTGATTGGAGACTGAGAAGTCCCGAGATCTGTAGTCAGCAAGCTGGAGACGTAGGAGAGCCGATGGTGTCAGTTCCATTCTGAAAGCTGGCAGGCTCGAGGCCCAGGAAGAGCCAATGTTTTAGTTCGAGACTGAAGGCAGGAAAAGCCCCACGTCCCAGCTCAAGCAGTCAGGCAGGAGCAGTTCCCTCCTGCTGGAGGCACGTCGGCCTTGTTCTACTCAGGCCTTCAGCAGCTGGGATGAGGCCCGCCCACATTAGGAGGGCAAGCTGCTGCCCATTTGGATGTTACACTCATCCGGAAGCACCTCACAGACACACCCAGAATAGTGTTTGACCAATATCCGGGGGTCCCGTGGCCTAGTTGGGCTGACACGTACAATTAACCGTAGCATCCTAACAGGGAAGGTGGGAGCTGAGGAAGTAAACACGAGTGGGATGAGGGTAAGAGGGCCGAAGACTGAGGTCCTCGCAGTACGTGGTCCTTGCTGGTGTGGGAATCCTTTGTGCTTGAAGGTGGAAGGAAAGGCGGAGGCGCCGAGAGGGGTGTCCAGCGTCCAGGAGCAGGTGAGGGGGCCATTTTGGGAGCTGGAGAACTTTCTCTCTGCCCACAAATTGTGCAGCGATGAGCCAGGCCATCGAGTTCTCCGTGGTGCTTGGAGAGGAAGGCCGCCATCTTAAGATTTCCCACCAGAATCGCAATTCTTGTAAGAAGGGGAATTTGACTTCATGTGGCCTGAGCTGGGAAAGGGTTACTGAGTTTCAATAGGAATAAGTCGCCTCAACAAGGGTGCCCAGCGTGAGGTTTTCCTAGTCCTTGGCTTTATTTGTTTACATATTGCCAGATTTCTTCTCATTTTTTAAAAAAAAATTAATTCATTTGATCCTCACAACAGTTCTCTAAGGGAGGTATTATTATTTCTCTTCCCTTTCTACAGATAAGACACAGAGAGGTTAAGTAACTTGCCCGAGTTCACACAGTCAGGCAGCCTGGCCTCACGGTTGACACTCTAACACTAAGATGGCGTCTCAGCTGGTTCTGTCCAGCCAGAATTTCAGTGTTTGTTTCTAAACAGTCAGCCACATGACCTGTGTCCTCCAGAGGATGCACTTTGGGGGACCTTCTGAACCAGATTGGGGTAATCATGTGACAATCCAAATTCATTCAGCCACCCATTTCCTTCCTGTGGTCAGCCCAGCGCTAAACCTATAAACATGTGGGGGAGGTCCCTCCTTCCAGGACTCCCCAGCTTCCTGACATTCCACACTTCTGTGTTCCTTCCTTTGGCTAAAGGATTCTTTCCTGAGACCATTTTAACTGGAGAGCGTTCGTTTGCCTAACTAGCTACACAAGATGACTCCAAATCACGGGGTCAGTCACCACTCCATTTTGCATTTGAGTATCTTCTGCACTTTTTTTGCAACAAGAATGGAACCGAGGTCATCTTGGTTAAGGGCCAACCAATATTTGGCATTGATTTTGATAAACGGAGGGGATTGGATCTGCCCGTCCCAGCCATGCCTGGCAGAGATCATAAGAAAGTGACTTTTCCATTAAAAGCCCGGCTCATGTTTTATGTATTTCTAAAGAGTCACAGGTTGAACCTAATTCCTCCTCCCTTTAAGACAAGAACCCCAAAGTTAGCATTTAAAATGTCACGTGCAGCCAGAGGTCTCGGTGGGTCGTGGAGGGCTGGACAGTTTATACTGGGGAGTCATAAAATTGACACCGAATGACTTCAACACCCAGAGAGTTGCCTAAGAGGTCAGGAATAGAACATCTGAAACCAAATCATGAATAAATCCTAGGAAAGCTGATAGCACAGCTTTAAAGAAAGGAAGCCCATAAATAAGCCAGCTTTAAACTTTGAATCCAAGTTATGAGGGTTAGTGAAACGAAGTGACCCTTAGGCTGGCAGTGAATTGTGGAGGGTTATTGTGTGCACGAAGTAGGCCCGCACCCAGCTCACCTCCTGGAAAGCAGCGTCCTTATTTACCAACAGGACGACCGAGACCCTGGGGCACAGAGCTTGTGGGTGGCAAAGCTGCGATTTGAACCTGAGTCTGTCTAAATTAACACATGTAAAGGACTTAGAACAGTGCCGGGCACACAAGCAAGCACTATAACCACACTGTCTATTATTATTATTAATTATTACTTCAAAGCCTAAGACATAAGCTTTAGGATCTCCTGGGTCTTCCTAGTGTGATCTCTTAAAAACACTCTTTGTGGTTGTCACCCAAAAGTTACCTCAATTATTCTGCAAACTCAAGTTGATGGGTTGTTACCACAAAAAAGGGAATTCTCTGTTTGATGCACATTAAAAAAAAAAAAGCCAATGATTATGCCACCACCTTTGGAGAAAACAAATAGCTTTATTGTGAGGTTGACCAGCAGGGAGACAGGAGGCAAGGCTCTCAAGTCTGTCTCCCTGATCCAGGATTTGGGGCAAAATTTATGGGATAAAGGGGCAGGGTGGTCTGGAGTGTGGAGACAGGTGATTGGAGACGAGGAGAGGGAAGGTAATTGATCTGCGCAAGCATCGTCAAGCTTCATGGCTCTTCGTAGGATGCACATGCACAAAATGGCGGACTTAGCATGATCTGAGGGTGGAGTTTTTGGCCCCCTGACATCAAAGGGTCACCTACGGGGTGTTCACGCAGGCCCAGTGGATGGATTGGTGGTCTCAACTCACCTGAAATGGGCAAGTGGTCAACTCTCAGCTCCTGGAAAATAACTCTTAGTTACTCTGTCGATAAGATGGGGTCAGGTTGACCGGTCCTAGTGGACACGTGGTGACAGTGTTGCCAAAAGTGTGTCATAACAGTAGAAACTGCTAACCATCATTGACAATCCCTCTCTACCCATGGCTACTCCAAAATGCTGCATGTAGTCAGAGCTTTTTCTTACTCATCTTGGCTTCAGTTGCTTTCTTAGCTTTACCAACCTATGTGCACATCTCACCGTGTCAGTACCCAGAGCTGCACTTGTACAGCGTCCTCATGCCCTGCTGTTAGTGTTCTTGCAGGGCAGACTCCTAGAAGTGGGATTGTTAGGCAAGGGGAGGCACGTTTAACATTTTGATAATTAATGCCAGTTGCTTTCCCCGAAATTTCTATTTACACTTTTACCAACAATATTTGAGATCACCCATTTTCCCCACCCTTCCCGATTCAGGCAATATCAACCTTTTTTATTTTTTTCCCAGATAGGTGAAAAAGATGTCTATTATTTAATTTATATTTATTTGATGATTAATGAAATTGAGTATCTTTTTATATACATATAGGCATATAAATCTGTATCTTTCTGGATTATTTTTGAGAATTACCTATTCATGTCATCAGCCCATTTTTATTGGGCTGTTGTATTTTTCTGATTAATTTGTAAGTATAGTTAATATCTTGTGGATATCAATCTTTGGCTTGTTATACAGATTACAGATGTTTTCTCCTAGCACGTCATGTGTCTTGATCTTTGTTTATTATTCATTTTGCCAAATATAGTTTTAAATTTGGGGGGCAGCCAATCTGTCAATCTTTCCCTTTGTGGCTTCTGGGATTTGTATCATGTATTGAGAGCACCTGCTCACCCCAGAATTATGGAAGTACTTGTCTATATGGCACTTTTCTTATTTTATCCTTTATATCTATGTCCTTAATCCATCTAGAATGTATTATTGTTTGTGACGTGGGGAAAGATCTAACTGTTTTTACTCCCAAATATATAGCCAGTTGGCCCAGCCTCATTACTGAAAACCCACCATCTCCTCAGTGATCTTAAAATTTCATTCTTATCATATCCTAAACTCCCCCATCTCCCGAGTCAGTTTCTAGATCCCCTGATGCAGTGCTTCTCAAACTTCGATGCCTTTTGGGGAGCTTTTAAAACAATCCCGCCCCGAGGCCACACCCTGACTAATTAAATCAAAATCTCTAGGCGTGCCACCAAGGTGGCAGCAGTTTTAACCCCCCAAATCTGAGAACTGGTGCTCTCACGTAGCGGTTCTCCAACCTCGGTGTCCCCCAGAATCACCTGGGAGCTTGGTCAACCTGCAGAGGCCCAGGCCTCTTTCAACCATCCTGGACCTCTGTCCATCCAGGTGATTCTGACACACTGATGTCTGGGAACCACAGCTCTAATCTGCTTGGGACCTCCAGAGGACCACCACTCAACAAGCAAGCCCACTGCCCCGCAAACAACCCAAGGCGCCCGACCCAGGATGAGGTCTGTCTGCAAAGTTCCCAGGTGGTTTGAAGGTGGGTCCAGCCTGAAGCCTTGAGGGCCTGGCCTACACCAGACTTTCCTTCCCTGGAAACTCAAGGAAAGCCTCTTGCTGCACCTGCTTCATCGGGAGCCCCAGACCCCCCTAGAGGTAAGGATGCTTGAGCCATGGCTGGCGGCGGGGTGAGGATCCTGGCAAAGCTGGGACTAGGAAAGGAGACCCCTGTGGTAATGGATTTTGCACCGCTTAGCATTTCTCCCCACAACCAAACCTAATTATTACCATCCTTCAAATTAACTCCATCTGAGATTGATCAATTTGGCCACAAATATTGAGCGTTTCTGTGAAGCGACTCAGGGATCCCCCGCACCAGGGCCGCTCCGTTTGGTCTTATTCTGTTCTGTTTTGTTTTGTTTAAGCATCTACACCCCGAAACAATTCTTTTCCATTTTTTCCTACACAAATCATCCACTCCAGCCCTGCACAGCCCACCCCACCCCTCCTCAGCCTTTCACCGCCTAGCGGAATCCTGGTCCTCCATCCACGCCTGGCTGTACGTGGGAACCACCTAGGGAGCTTTTTAAAAGTCCTGAGGCCTCAGCCTCACCCCAGGCCAATTAAACCAGCCGCTTTGGGGGTGGGGCGGGAGCGGGCTGCTATACCTCTACAGGTGACAACATGTGCCGCCAGGGGTGGGACCACCCAATTCTAAGCCGAGCTCCAATGCTTCTGTTCTCTAAAGTGGCCTCTAATTTCATCTGCTCCCACCCTAACCTACATACATACACGCTACAATTATTTTTCTTTGAAATAAAAATGTTACCTTTATTTGTTCACTTTGGAGTAGGTAATATATTAAAAAATTTTCAAGGTACAAAGGGTAGAGGGAAAGTCTTCCTCCCCCCTGCTCGCCCCCAGCTCCCCCACCCCAGAGGGAACGGCCTCCATCCCCTGCTCTCCGAGGGCGCCGTGACTCAGGGAGCTGGCAAAGGCTCCGGGTCACAGAGGCCTGCGCTTGACTCCTGCTTCTGCCCTTGGCGTCCCACGTGACCTTGCACGAGTCACTCCAGCTCTCCCATCCTCTGTTTCCTATCTGGGAAGTGGAGACAACGACACTCACCTCTTGGAGTTGTGCAGGAGGACTGAAGAGGTGTTCTTGTTCACTATTTTAACCCAGCAAGCGATCCCAGACTTACAAAAGCAACCATTTTATTTGCTCATCATTCTGTGCGTAAGGAGTTCAGGCCTGGATGGTCCTAGTCCACCAGGGGTCCCCTGGGCTCATTCTCCTGGCTGGTGGATGGGCTGGACTAAAAGGCCCAAGACAGCTCAGCGCACGTGACACTAGGGCCCGTCTACACAGCCTCTCCCCTCGTGACTGGCTTGGGCTTCCTCAGAGCATGGTCACTGGTGGTCAGACACAGATGGTCCTCAAGAAGAGCATTCCCAGCAGGAAGGTGGACATGCTGCCATTGTCTTAAGGCCCAGTCTCAGAAGTTACACGGTCAACCCAGATTCAAGGGGAGGAGAAATATACACCCATTCTTGATGGGCAAGTGGTATGGTGACATTGCAAAAGAGCATGTGGAATGGGATATCGTTGCAATATCTTTGGACAAGAGGAGTGAATGCAGAGTGCCCAGCCCGTGGCAAGTGCCCAACACATGCTGGTCCCCATCCTTCTTCTCAGCACACAGTTCATTTGCCTTTTACTGTAGTTGATTGTTTATATACGTTTTATAAGTTCCACCGCCAGTGCCTCACCAAGAGCCGGGCACAGAATAGACGGCCAGAGAATGTTTCTATGAAACCGTAGAGGTGGCCGTGAGGACCCATCCAGTCCTGGGAGTGCTAACGGGTGGATTCCTAAAATGCCGAGTCAGGAGATCCCCGCTCCCCGACCTCCACCCTCCCTCCCGCTTCTTACACGGTGGTCACTCCGCTCTATGTCCACGATCTGAGATGTCCTCCTGCTCTCTTGTCATCGCAGTGTCTTCCTGTTCAGATTCTCCATGTTCACCACCAAGAAACAACTTAAATGTCACCGTGCCCCTGAAGCCTTTCTCAGTCTCCTAAACAGGAAGAGGAAACACGTGTCTGAGCCCCTGCTGTGTCACGGGCACTATGCCGGGCGCTCAGGATGAGTACAGTGGGGAGAGGTGAAGGGTGGAGATGAGTGAGGACCAGGGGGCAGCAGGAGCAGAGGCAGGGGGGCTGAGGGGGACATGACGGGGGCTCCTACCCGGAGGGACCACAGAGTAAGTGAGAAGAGATTCAATGTCAGACCAAGCAAGGTCTCAGACGCCCTGTAATGAGATTGAGCTCCATTCTGCAGGCAAAAGGGAACCCCAGCAGGCATTTTTAGGAGAGGAGAGACAGAATTAGACATGCAGGCATGTGTAGGAACTAGACGAACAGAGAGCAAAGAATCAGTGTTTCATCATGTACCAGCTCGGTACTCAGTTCTGAAACCTGGATTGTCAAAGCAAAGCTCCCCACTCCACACCCCCGCCCTGGGAGAAAGGAATACTGAGGCCTGGGAGGGGAGGGGAGTGCCCGCAGTGGGGGCCTCGGGCCTTTGGCCATGCAGCTGGACCCTAGAGACTCTATCTGCAAGGCGTGTGTCTGACATTGAGAAATGTCCTAGCAGCACGGGGGTAATGATGGATAGGTCTGATGAATGCATCCCCATTATTATTGAAATTTATACACGTTCTGCCAATCGAAGACTCTTGGTGCATGCGTCTCGTTTAGGATTCACAGCTGTTGTTTTTCAACTGGGAACCTGGGAGTCTGGCCCCTGGATTGACAAAGCCGAAATCTGGGGGCACCTTCCAGGAAGCGCATTCCGGATGAAAAGCCCCCATTTGGAAACTGCTCTCTGCCCCTAATTCACTAGTGACTTGGGCAAGGTGGCTACTGAATCTGAGCCATATTCTAGGAGGATGAACCGGGTCAAGGGCAAGATGATCCAGCCCGGACCCTCCCACAACCGAGAAGGCTCCAGTTCCCTCTGACTATTCATTTAGTCATTCCCTCGTTAAGATCTATTTTTGAGCACCTTCTATTTGCCAGGCACTACAGTAGGTGCTAAGGATACAGTGGAATTACTGTAGAAAGGACCCTGCTCTCTTGTGCCTTATTGACATGTGCAATAGACTGACTGTAAAGGAAACAAATAAACAAAGCAAAAGAAAAATAAATACAGCTTTTGATAAGAGCCATGAAGGAAACTAGCAAGTTGCCATGAGAGGCGTGATGCGAGCAGCAATTATGTTTGGGAGAGTCATTTAATGGATGTTCTCCAGCCTAAGACATGCTGGGCCCCAGGCCAGGCCTTTAAGCTCCGCTTGATAGAGTTGATCCAAGATCCCAAAGGGAGAAGTGACATAAGGAAGCAGACATGGCGTGTCGGCACGCAAAGGCGTTAACCAATCTGCCAGCTCACCCTGGTTTTGTCCCCACAAACTTAGGTATTATCTCCACAATGTTCCAACTCCACTACGTTCTAGGACATGAGACAAGTTGCTTAGCCCTTCTGTGCCTCAGTTTCCTGATCTGCAATATGGCGGTAATAACAGGGCCCTCCTCGTAGGGTGGCATGAGGATTAGGAGATTCAGCACAGGTCAAGTGCTTAGAACAGTGTCTGGCACTTAGTCTCAGCTATTATTGTTTGCACATCCTTCGATGGGGCCTTCACTGGAGCTGGGCCTTGAGCATTCGTTATGTGGCATTGGCTGAGGGGAAAGGGTGCCTGCTGGGGGCCTGTCCTGGTGGAATTCCCCCAGCATCCCTGAAGCAAGGATTTGCACGCAAGTAGTTTATTGGGGAGGCGAAGGAGACAGTGTCAGGCAGCGGGGAAGTGAGAGGAGAACGCAGCCCGTGACGGGTGTGCTCTTGAAGCCCGGTACCTGGGGGTCACTGTAAATATCCAATAAGAACATGATTGCCAAGACAGACATGAATGATGAAAAGAAGTTAGATGAAAAGAAGTTAATCTTGTTAATTTGCTGTTTTCGTGTTTAACCTGAGGGGTGACTCAAGGGTCACAAGGATTTAT